CTTGACCCCCCTCACTTCCGGGGTGAGGGGTTAATTCCTGCTGCCTTGCAGTTAGCACTTGGTTGTGCAAAGGCTAGGCTTGCGTCCTCAAAATAAAAAACGCCGAGTGACGCTGGGGTCGTCTCTCGTACCAAACTTCCAAGGAACTTCATGATCATGATCATGTGTAGAGCCGGTTTATCCTTTCCAAGGAGCCAGCCGCAGTGAAGTAATAGTTTGGTTCACTTGACGTCTCTTGAAAACCTTTCCAGTAAATTAAACAGGGAGAGGAGCGATAGACTCGAGAGTGACAGTTTACACTTGCCAGGTCACAATGAGTCGTTTGACTGTTGTGCAGTTTCACGAGGAGAAAGCTTGTTCAGTGAAAACCCAAGATCTCCTCGAGTGCTGTCAGGTCTTGTTCGCGGTGGCCTGTCCAGTTAGCCTTGGGCGTTTTCATTGAGAACTAACTTCCAATGTATTGGCTGTTCCCGTATCCAGAACCTGTGAACACAGCACGCAACGCGCCGATTAATCTCTGAAATGTCCTTTTTACTGTCAGTACACTATGGATAAGGTCATTCTTTTAGAAGAAGCGAACTCGATTGATCAGTTTTCAGAAGTCTACATGGCTGATGATTTACGATGGTTCGCTTGAATTTCCATTGAACCCGCGTTGATTTTCTGGTGTTTATTTTTGTACCTGATGATATTCTTCAGTTGTAAACAATATTTAACGCATACATATCTACATATAACTAAGTTGATTGGATACTAACAGTCGGTGAACGATTGTTCTCTTGAAATTCCGTCAATCTATCTGCCCTACTAATGACCATCTGGCTGTCACCCTTCAGTGTAATTTCCGTGTATAAAATGAATAGGTTCTGGTCAAAATGGTTATTGTTTTATTCGTTCTGCCGTTTTTTTTAAATAGACGCCAAGTATCTACCTGAATCAAGTCCGTTTAGCAGTCCAGGGGACTGAACACTCATCGACCTCAGCATTTAGTAGGAACGATACGCGTGCACTTCTTTTGGATATGAACGTAGATGCGGGCACAAGTCGCGTTTTGTGCATATCCTGCTTGAAGAATCTGGAACTAGGCGAGCCTCATTGCACTCTCAAATTATCGGCACCGTTAAACTCGTTAACTAACATTTAATTTGGTTTGCCCTGACATGAGCCTGCTTACGATCAAAGCGAATTCAACAGATGAGCATTAAAACTGACTCAACACTTAGACAGATTTTTCCCATTGATTTGAGCTGGTCGTTAGACTCTACTTTCATGCACAATCTTCAGTTCATTCAGCCACTCGTGTGGTTGATTGAATGCACTGAGGAGCGCAATTTGAAGGCTGTTCAGTCCAAATCGATAACACTTATCCCATACAACTGCTCACAAGTAACTGTGAAGAATCTTGATTACCCCATTAACTTTGTCCATTCAAGGGAAATGGTGCAACCTTTTAACAGATATGACACAGTTGGTATGAAGTCTTAAGTTGTGTTTGTGTGTGTCTGATTCCTGGTTGTTTCATTTTAGCTTATCAGTTGTTTTGTCTTTCGTGCTCACTTTTCAGATACCATGACTGGGCAGATCTCGCCGTACGCCACTACTTCAACTGGGGCAGATCTTCGTCGTCCAATAACTGAGGCCTACGCAGCTATGGTTCTTGAACCTCGATCACCTAAACTACCTCCAATTCAGGGGTCAGTTCCAGTCGAGACATCGGTTGCAGCCACCTTGGCGAACAGTGCTTTACTCCCACCAATGGTCGACACGAGTGGAATTGGTGGCTCTGGTGGTGTTGGTGCCGGATATCCTGGCTACGTGCCCGGTCATAACGAAGGTTTTATCTCGACACAGGTTAACTCGGGCACGTCCACTTTCCGTCGTCGACAATCGGAATACGCGAAACGTCATCCGCCCGATGCCAATTCCGGACTGGGACACACAAGTCGCATCATGAATTTCGCTTCGGCTACACCAGCGGTTGTGCGCCGTGGAAGTCAGGTGAGATACACACACACACACTATATATATATATATATGCACATATATACGGTATAAATTATATGGTATGTCCTAAAAGTACTCCACTGTCAGACTTCGAGGAAGGGTCGGATCTGTGGTGAAATTCCACCCTCGTTTCATGTCACCTGTGGGTTACGACAGGGTTGCCTTGTCTCTTCAATTTAACGATAGATTATTTTCTGCAAAAAGTGCTGCTCCTTGCAGATAGAGTTGTAGACCCAGGGTGTGCCGATGATATTACTTAACTCGGTGACAATTCTTTGGCAATTCAAAACAACCTGAATCGTTTGGCCATTGACGTTGCTCTGTATAGTATGTGCTTTGCGCTCTCAAGGTGCAAAGTGTTGCGGCACGACTGGGGGAACCTGTTCTTGTAATTTCGTTTGTTAATGGCGCCCTGGAATTCGTTGAGAATTACATGACGGCTGGTGGTAGTGTCCCAACGCGTGATGAAAACAAGGTTGACGTTTGCTAATCTGAGACATCGTTGGCGCCAGGACGATATATCCCATTGACTGAAAGAGTGTGCCTATTGAGGAACGTTACGCTCCGTGTTGCTGTACGGCTACAAAATTTTTTCTCTTCAAGCAGATCATGTCCAGCTACTGTCTTCGACAACCTTTTTTTGCGCAACATGGTGGGAAAATGGTGCAAGGATGGGAAGAACCGTTTCAATGCATCGTCTGAGGTGGCTAGGGCACGTGTTGTGAATGACTGGACAACGTCTGCCCCACGGCGCGCTGCTTGTAGAAATGGGGCCGGCCTGCAAGAAACACCCAGTTGGGCAAGCTGTGATTCGGCGTAGGTGGTTGAAGAAATTGCGTTCGGATCTGGTTTCTAGGCTGTGGTGTCAAAGATTCAGATTGCCGCCGACTGGAGACACTGGAGTGGCATCGAACTGAAGTTACCTGCGTGATTGCACTCTTTCTGGTCTGTAAGCCCAAAAGTAGAGGGACTGTAAAAGTCCAAATTACATGCAAATAAGTTATCTCCTATCCACCGTATCTATCACATCTGAAGTTTTCAGCCGGAATCGCCAATGCACCCCGTAACAAACTGACTTCTATGACTAAGTTCCAGAGGGGGGATTACAATACTTCTGTCGCAATCAAAATTCTGTTTTATTTTTGCTCTCGAAATAGGCCCATCAAAAGATGCTTTGATAAAATTTCGTATTTTAGCTTCCCATTCGATTCTCGAAAATGATTATGATGGTTTGTGCCTGTGGGAGTGGAAACGAACTCGTTAATCTACGGAGAACGTGCAATACTTTTGTCACAGAGTGTTTATACTTATTAGTAGTTGTAAATGTCACCAAAGTTGTTTTCATTGAATTCGTTTTCTGGTTACCAAATGAGAATATTCCGTGGTTATTTGAAAATTCGAAACTTGCACTCAGACAAAATGTGTGTTGTTNCACACACTCATAGCTAGCTGTTTTCAGTGCTGCTTCCGTAACATCCTTTCAAGGCATGGTTACTTACACTCCGCATCTGTCGATATCCTTTAATATACATTTCAACACAGCATTCTAGGTGCCATCAACGTGGTCGTTGTGTTTGTAACCCGAAATTGTCATCAGTAGTCGACTTCTCTAGGTTATCTTCTTTATCCGATTCACCATTACATACTCTATCGTTGTTGGCTACGCCGATCTGAATGGAACTGAATGAATGACAAGTCGAATCTCGTCTCTTTTCGTTTCTCCACCTTGCGGACTTTAGTTCACTCCATCCTGTCCGTTGCCCACAGAAGTGGGGGTTTCTTTGTCCCGTAGCCCACGGTCTCCACTCGCGCGCGCACATACACGCACTTCGTGCATATTTATTATTAACCCACCCTTCTTCCGCGCATNCCGCGCATCACTTCGGGAGAGGGGGGGAGTAGGGAGGGGCGGAAAACTAATGAGTCATTGGTGTAGCACTTTCGCTACACTGTCGTCGTCATCGCTCTACCTGATTCCTCTTCCCCTTAGCGTGCCATTTTCGTAGGGGTGTTTGCCCTGGTGCAGGTATGTGAACGTGCTGACACAAAGGTCCTTTGTCTAAAATTATGTCAAGAGTGTTTTTAAACTCATATTCGACTATCTGTATTGAGTGGCACGATAGCTCACCGGTCGATTGAAAAGTTCGCCTAGCAGCGATATCATCATGACAATGTGGTCGAAACAATTTTTACTGTTCTTTATTCTGAATAGTTCTGTTGTGCACAGTTGACCTAACAAGAGTGTCTGTGCGATTTCATGGTGCTCCCGTCCGCTCTTCTCCGAAACCCTCACATGTCTCCCCCTGGTAGCGTCTAAACTGCTACTGCTGTTGCTCCGCCCCTATCTTGAAAGTTGTTTGTACCATTGCATATTCAACAAAAGGTAGTCCGGAAGAAAATAAGTGTCTAACGTGGTTGGCTCTTATTCTCCCTGACTTACGCATTCTCCTGTTGATGCACTCAAGCCAGCAGAATGCAAGCATAGGGAACTTCAACCGATCGGTTATGCTGATTGAGCCTGTAACGCAAATTACCAACGTGTTCAGCAATGAACCGTCGCTTTGTTGACAGCGTTCATGATTCATATCCAGACCAAGAATTGTGTCGGTTTTGAAGATTTACCGGACTGCAAACCGTCGATGTACGATGATAATGACAATATAGTCAATACGTTTTTCGAAAGTATCGCATCGCATCACCTGTTTTTATCAATCTAGGTTTTCTTAAATACACGATGCCACTTTTTGTTCTGTGATTTTAGCTTCGTTTATGTTGATTTTAGGCCGATTTGGGACATTCCAGATGCTCAGCCGATTAGCAAGTCGCGAAAACGGCCTATCTATTCCCATCGCCGTTGTTTACAGTTCTACGAAGGATAAACCATCGCATTAGAAGTTGAAACTCAGCGACTAAAATATACACTAACTTTTCATTCTTTCTGTGTTAGTTGAACGCTATTTTCTAAGTCTCAAGAGCAGTAGAACCGTTGTAAACTGCATTTGTGAACGTCGTATCTCCGCTCCGTGCGATCCCTCAAAAGGCAATCGTTACCTTTCCTTTGTTCAATGTATTTCAGTCGTTGTTTAAACTACGGTTGCTGTTTGCGTAGTCTTACTAACTCTTTGTTCAACCAGTTCTTTCATCCCGGAACTAAGAATATGGCTGCGTATTTCGTTAGATTGCAAATCGGCTTGCTCTGTACGTTTTCTGAATTCAGCAGCCGACTCCTTTAGCATTCCTCCTTTTTGCAGCAGTTTAATGAGATCACGTAACTTCGTAGGTAATATTTCATCCACATTTTCCTGTTTGTTGAATAGAAAATAAAGTCATCAAGTCGGTCTTTCCTAAAGCTGTATCCTCCTTGTCTAAATGAAGCGAACGTGTTGTCACCGCGTGAAATGATCCGTCTGGTTATTTTATCAGTGCCTCTGCTTTGGCTACTCATGAGTAGTCATGATTCATTACTGTTTATACCTTATCGCCCTTTTGAATGACTCATTTCCTGGCTCTTTAATTTTAAATCACACTGTTCATGTGTTATTTGTTACGGTATTCCAAAAGTTGATCTTTATTCTGGTTTCCCATTTTCCGTGCGTTCATACTGGGTTAATTTGTTTTATTTGCTTTCCTTAATCAGCGAATGAAGATGGTTGTGTTAAATTCAGAATTGTGGATCATGTTCAGCGATTTTCTCACATTTGATAACTCCAGGTATGCCCTGATGCATCTGGCCGAAATTTAAATCGTCCGACGAATCCTCCACGCCGCTCAAGCAGTGTCAGTCGCGAATTCAATCACGCACGTCATTCCGTAATGCCGGAACCGATGGGTGGTCCATTTTTTACATCTGCACACCCTAATGGAGGAGTAGAGCACCCGGGGATTCAACGCGTATCAAGTTCTATATTCACGCATGCAGACCAATCCGCAGTGAATCACGCGATGGTTACTAACGCGAAGGAATGTTGGCCGACGGCGAGCGTACACGATCCGCGACCAAATTTGATCCAGCTACCACCTGGGACCATGATAAAACCCTCAGTGGCAATTTCTGCTACCGCTATGGCCGGGATACCTCCGGCGTATTATTCCGAAGCTCCAACCAGTCGTGGAAAGGGGATGCCTCTTACTCCACCTCCGTTAGCCACGGTCGCAGCCCCGACACATTCAAAAACTAATCAGCTCATGTTTGGAGTCAAAGTACTACCGAGTCAAATTCCTGCACTTCCACACGACCAGGCAGTATCCCAGTCCGCTATGGCACAACACTACGGGACAATCAACCGTCAGATTGCACGCCAACGATTTACCGCTGAAAACCCCGGTGGACATTATGCATCTGCTTCCCGTCTTCACCGGACACCTGCTGAAGACGGAAGTACCAGTAAGTACTGTTTCTATTGTTTTTTGCACTGTCTCCTTGATTGGCTTGTACAGTACTTTAGTCTAGCGCAATTAGGTTTGTTTAGCCGAATATAATCCACTTACCCCGGCTTCTATTCTCTCATCGCGCTCACCAGCTGCGGGAGGTCCGTCGTCAAGTTACGTAGGATTGAGGCATCTGAATCACACTTCTAGGGTCTTTAATCCGCGTCCTATAAATGCAGCAAATATGTTTCGAGAGGGTCTATCACATGCGTGAAACAAAACCGCTCATTGAATCGTATTATGTAAAACTCAATGGGGCTTGCTAAAGTGTGTCGCTTTCGTTGGGCCTCTTCTACCTGTGAAACCGCTAGACAACAAGCAAAAGCGGGTAACAAGTTTTCCGAGGGCATCCTGGGTCAGAAGTTTGCGTGAGGAGATACGGTTGGAAGTAGAATAGAAGGAGTTTGATAAGGTATTAACGGTTTAATGCTAGCCCATTAACAGAACGGCACTGTCAGTCGCTTAATCTGGCGTTTAAAAAAGTAGGGTCAGTTAGGTTTAACGGGTTGTCCGTTTTTTTCGGCTTATGCGTGCTCCTCTGATATAATCTAACAAGGGACTTGGTGTCGTACATAGCTGTGTTTGTGTGCTTTCGCAATATCCTTTCCACCCTAGTGTGGATTTTCCCTGATACTGCTTTGATATTCCAGTCTTCCCTCTATCTCTTCCTACAAATGGGCAGTCGAAACTACCGCACCCACGTGCGTCAGTCATGGTTGTTCAAACTAAAAATCTAACTCAGATTTAATTGGAATAGAACACTGAAATCTTAATAGAAGGCTTCCTGCTTGGGAATGAACAAAAAGGTTACTGTCTTACTTCACTGCTATCGGGCCAAATGATCTGACTGACTACGATTGAAGAGAACGTATAAACAGATGTGAATTCGTGACTCTGATCAACCCTGATATGAGTCGGTTGGCGCAGCGGCGACAGGTACGATTCCGATGTGAAGAGTCTAGTTCAGAGGCGCAGGTGCATAAGCACTACTGGCGCAAAACTCGAGCCTAGCTTTTCCGGGGTGTACGAACTGAGGACCACGGATAAAGGGGAAGCCTTAATGATGGTCAGTTAGATTTTTGATCACCTATCTTTATGTGATGTGCAATAAAATGGGTGAACTTCATAGTCATGTTATGTTGCGGGAACTAGTAACCTAGGAGCAGTCAACGATTCCCGGAATCATTTCTAATGAATCCTGGACTTGGTAATATGCATAATCCTGGGTCACCATTATTGTCTCCATCTGTTTTGGTTTGATGTGTCCTACCACATTAGAGATTACGCACCCAACATTTTGTAATGTTTTTTACTGTCTCTGAAGCAATTTTTGATTGGTGTTATACACGACGTTTGTATGGTCGTTTCTGTGTAGCATACATTTTCTCGTTGTCGTAGCGCTACGGAACCGGCTGACTAAACCCAACTTGGCGGAGTTCAAAAAGCACCTTTTCGCATACACTGACCCTATCTAAAAGCATTGTGAAAATTATTTTTAATGCCGTACAACATCTATACCACTACCGTAGAAACATATTTTGCTCTGTGCAGAGAATCAGTGAGTCATTATCATCAATGATGCAGAATGCCAAGATATTGGCGTAATGTGTGCTGCGCTACTTTTTTGTCATGTTTTCTTTGTTTTCAGGTTTCATCGAGTGAAAGTTACTGGTAGGTTCAGTCACGCAGGGCTCAGCTATGGAAGAACATAGAAGGAATCTCTCCGGGATTGCCATGTCAGCTTTCCCCGTTGCACAAAATGCCGTGAACATAATAAGATCGTTTTCTTCCGCGGACTGAACTTGGGACCTTTTTCTACCCACTTCGCCATTATCTTTTCAATTGACTTGGACTACCTGAACTGTTCCTTCTCAGCTTGTTTTTGGTTTATTTGGTACTCTGATTTAAATCTACTGTTCTATTCCGGCTGTCTGTACCACTAACCACAAACAGTCGTCAGTCGGGACCAAATTGTAGGAGTTACACGCTTCGCTTACTCTGCTCAGTCCAGCGCCTTCCCCCAAGTCTCACACACTCATCTCCCGGTCAGCTCGATGCCACAGCCAATAAAATAACACTACACTGTTTAAACACACAATCTTTCATCTGATACGATGATGATGATCTGCATGAATAATTCGCGCTTTTGCTTCCACGTTCTCACTCTTCCATTCATCAAAATTCGCATTTAAAATCTAAATAATTTGCGTCTTTTGCGCTACCAACCCCCTCAGTTTTCTTCCAACTAATGTTCTCCCCATAATTTGTTCCTCGATTATCCATCCACCCGTTTGGCCAAAATACATGTATTTCTTTTCTAGTACTCTTCAAATGTCGTCACAAACTTTAG